TCATAAAATGTACTTTTTTACCCTCAAAAGTATTTTTTGCAGAAGGAATGATCATATGTGGCTTCCTTCTTCCAGGAAGAAGAAGGGGCTCACTGAGTGTGTGCAGTGTGAATATCATCACTATAGTTCATTCTTGATTTTAGGAACAAGCCATGATGTAATTGGCTCATGTTGCAACCGTCCCCACTCGACCCTATATCGTTCTACAACCTGAATTAGATTTGTCAAATGAGAAGAATGATGAGGATTAATATAGCATTTATGTGCTGACAGACAAATGCCAATATCACAAAGAAAAAGTCATACACTATTGACAACTACTGATTCTAAACATTACGGGCACCTGCACAAGTTCCTATGTCAACTTGGCCTCACTGTAATTTGTAAGCATATACATTTTTCTAGAATCATGTTCGCAAATCCTATACTTGACAGAATACTGGAGCCTACTTATTCATTTACCTTGCACTTTTAATCCAAATTTAGCTATTTCAATTTGTACTCATATCTAACTTCAACACAATATTACTTTTTGGTTCATACATTTTAAACCAATTCCATTTTCTCTACTCCTCTAGTAGTAATTTCTTTTTATTTTTAACAAAATGGTACTTAAATTACTGTATATTTCTTGTCCTGTTTTATGTGCATTGTTGAATTGTGGCTTTGAAACAGTTTGATTCTGCTTCAGTTATTCTGTAAAATGTACTGTGAATTATAACAGGCCTAAAATTACTCAGTGTATGATATAGTTCCCGTGTGTTGTTTCTCATTAATAAAATCACCGCTGATAACCAAGATGATCCTTTCCCTGTCATTTTCATGAATGAATCTTAATTATAAATTGGAGTGATTTATGAATCTGAAATAATTTCACTGTTTTCATGAATAACCTATCACCATTGCAAGCTACAACATAAACATTTCTGACTAATCGTAGTATTTGTTAAATAAAAAGAAACACTTTACAATTTAAAGACGCGACCCGACGGAGTCGCCAATATGTCTGCTGAATATCAGGCGCGATAAAAGACTTTGCCGGCGACTCCAAATCCTGCAGGTGTGAAAAGTGTCCTAGCAACAGCCAATGAGAACGCAAGACACGGGGTGAGGTGAAACCCGAGACAGGAGTTGAGAAAGGTGTTGAAAAGCCATAAAAGTTCAGTTTGTTTAGAACGCATTCAATTAGTAGTGTTCAGATAGTTATTTTTCTTGTAGCATTTACTTTACTCAGGTAGATATGCCTTGTTACTAGTCAAAATTGAATTGAGGATATGTCAGGCAAAAATACAATGGATTTTCATAATATTAATATAGTATATAGAGCTCTATAATATTAATTCTTACTAGTAAAAATACAATTCTTACAAGTAAAAGTTGCATTGTGGATATATTGAATACTGTACATTTTACTACCAAAAAGAAATCAATTTTATTTTTACTAGTAATACTTAAGTTATGATGAGTAAGCCTTATGCCAATTGAAGACAATTTGGCTCGCCATAGGGGCGAGTCTTGGGATATTTCACCTGTGTATGGGGGGGGGGGGCTACTGTACAATTTGAATGCCCTTAAAATCAAAATGGTATCTGGTATGGTACAGACATTTTCTGACTCTATTCTTCTTTATCTTACGATTACACACCATAAATCCTGAGTAATTCCTCCTCAGATGATTCCAAATTTCTGTAACATTAAGGATTAGTTTTAGAGAGGTCTCCCTTACGGTCAATGGTTGAAAATCAACTGAAACTCCTCCCTTTTAGAGTTTGTCTATGGTCGCATCTTCAGCTAGAATTAAACAGGAGAGCGTCGCTGTTTAAAAATGACTCTACAAAGTTTTAATTTTACCTCATGCGAAGAATTAATAAAAAACGAAAACTGCCAATATTGTCGAGATCCAGTTTTTGCATCGTTGACACACGTTCAACAAAAGCATTGGAAATTTGCAATATGTTTTGTTGACAATAACGAAGGTGAGTACATGCGTTAAATTACACCAAACTGAGAAAGATACGCATTGGCTTATATGCAAGATCTACAACTATAAATCATTTCCAAAGACGATATTTGATCATTTTAGGCCTTCTACATTCTAAGCTAAAAGTGTATTTTTTCTTTTTACTTTTACCTTTGCTTGTCACTGGAGCTGCACCCTCAAGGGTTTGCCAATTGTTCCATTAGCTGTAAGAAATTGTACCTTTTAAGGTACAGACATGGACTATGGGCAAAATTTCTATACACCTGATGGTACATTAATGCTGTTTGTATCTTTGGGATGTTCCCCAGAGTCCATTTCTGTACCTTAAAAGGTACAATTACAAGGGTACAGCCCCAATGACAAACAGAGGAAAAGCAAAATAATAATAATTACAATTTTAGCTTAGAGTGTAGAAGGCCTAAAATGATCAAATATCGTCTTAGGAAATTATTTATATTTGTAGATCTTGCATATAAGCCAATGGGTATCTTTCTCAGTTTGGTGTAATTTAACGCATGTACTCACCTTCGTTATTGTCAATAAAACATATTGCAAATTTCCAATGCTTTTGTTGAACGTGTGTCAACGATGCAAAAACTGGATCTCGACAATATTGGCAGTT